AAATGGAACTAGAGAAGCCGAATGTAGAAGCTCTCCATGAGGACATTGTTCTGGAGTGTCAGGGAAGGACCATGGGTGCAGGACCCCTCAGCCCAGGGCTGGCTGCCTCTGGCCAATGGCCTCCAGAGCTCACTCCCTGAAGGAGCAGGCCAGGGAAGGACGGGGCCAGCCAAGCCAGTGGAGGCCCAAATAAGAATGCCTCAGAGAACTACGGCTGAACAGACCAGCTTCCACAGCAGGACCACAGAACAGGTAGGTGGTCCCCACCCGGAAAGAAAGAAAAACCTCAAACTAGGCCTTGTTTCTCCCACTCTCTTTCTTTGGTGAGCATTAAAAAAAAAAAAGCATAAAGTTACAAAGAATGTTTTATAATATCTCCACTGAAAGCTGCCCTGACTTTAAAAAATAAAATAAAATAAATATACACAGAGGTCAAAAAATCAAAACTGAATAGAATGACACAAAACGCAAGCCTCCCTTCCTGACCCATCTCTCCACAAGGGTAACCACCTCCAGGGGGAAGACTGTGGGCAGCAACTCAGCTATGTGAACACACAAAAGGAATCACACTGTATGCCAGCAGCTGGCAAACTTTTTCTATAAAGGGCCAGACACTATTTTAGGCTTTGTCACAACTATACTCTGTAGTAGCAAGACTGTAGCCAGAGGCAATACTTAAATGAATGGGTGTGGCTGGGTTCCAATACACTAAGGACACTGAAATCCGAATTTGATGTAATTTTACGTGTCACAAAATATTCCTCTTTTGATTTTTTCAACCATTTAAGAATGTAAATGGTTTACACTGGTATGGCTTGCAGGCCTTACGAAAATAGGCAGCAAGAAGTCTGGCCTGTGGGCCTGGTTTGCTAACACCTCACTCCTTTCACTTATATCCTGAGGATTGTCCCACATCACACAGAGACCCATCCATTCTCCTGACCTACTGCCTCAGAATCCACTGAGAGGCTGAAATGTAACCGCACCACAGCTCTCTACTGCTGGACGTTTTGTTTCAATATTATAAATAATGCTATAATGAACATCCTTGTACATCTGATGAATTTTCTTACCCTATGGGGTTCAATCCTAGTGGTGAATCAAGGGCTGTGACCATATTTTGGTTTCCTCTAGATATTGCCGGAAGAGTCCTCCAGAAAAGCAGACTTTACTTCATTCTGCACACGAGCAGGACCTTCTTCCTTCACCCTTAACAGCCCTCAATGTCCTGACAGGCATGCTGGAAACCTACCCTGCTGTAAGCCCACGCCCGGCCAATTCCCTGGGTGGGAGATTCTCTCCACCTTTAGAAACCCTCCTCTGGCTCTCAGCCCTGCGGATGCCTGCCCAGCAAATGCTAGAGAGGTGTCTGTCTACTCCACAGCGAGAAGGGAGCCAACCAAAGGACAGAAACCATCAAATTTACGTCTGACAGCTCAGACACAAGCGTGGCCCAATTATGTGACAGTTACCGAACTGCCAAACAGCCATAGCTCCTGCATTCCAGGAATTTCTCAGGTTGCCCTTAGGTCGTACTCTTTTTTTTTTTTTAATTTTTTAAAATTTTATTTATTTACTTATTTATTTATTTATTTTCCAGGGGAGGTAATTAGTTTTATTTATTTAGTTAGTTTTTGGATGGAGGTACTGGGGATTGAACCCAAGACCTCATGCATGCTAAGCATGTGCTCTACCACTGAGCCACACCTTCCCCCTAGGTCCTGCTCTTTTTTGCCCTCACAACTAGAATCTTCTACCACTCAGGCCAGAAGAGGCCTTGGAGATGTATCATCTGAGTACCCAGCGCCCACTTCATTGCAGGGATAAGAAAATTGAGGCCATAAAAAAGACCTGACTTGCCCAGAGTCCCAGTGTGAGAAATCCTCTTTGCCCAGTGGCCTCTCTTGAGGAAGGGCTGGCTCCCGTTGTCCAAAGCCCCCCACCTCACATAAAGCTCCAGGCTTCTTTGCTAGTGGCCACTCTCCCCACTGCTGGTCTGCGAGGTGTAAGATCAAATCCACCCCTCCCCATCACCCTCTCACAGTCTCCGTGGTCTGGCTCCAAGTCCGCGGTCCCCTGAGAAGCCTGGACACATTGGTGAATCAGCAGTTCTGAGCCAGGTCGTAGAAGCACCCCACTCCCTGCCGCCCACAGCCCAGCTGCTTGTTTGCTTGTCAAAATCTAGGGATCCCTAGGGAGTTCAGGAAAGCCTTGAGCATGTGAACCCATGACTTAGGCAGAGGGCTGGGAAGGACTGCTCCAAGGGACAAAGGCTCCTCATGGGGGTGACCCAGAAGGGGGACAGTGGGGAGTTCAGTACCATTAGGGAGTGTGGGGAAGTGCCAGGGGAAAGGCCACTGTCGGGGGCAACACAAGGCAAGCAGGGATCCCCCTTTGGTGACCAACAGCTCATAAGGACCTCACTGAGCAAACCTAGACTCTTTGGAGAGCTGCCTGCCGGCAGGATGAAAACAATGTGGGCCCCTCCACATTAGCAGATGGCCGGTGGCTCCCCACAGTTCTTCCCACATGGACCGTCTCACCAGCCCGACACCCCACGCCACACGTGGCTGCCCCAAAGGACACGACAACAAGGAGAAAGGAGAGGATGAAGGACAGGAAATAAACACTGTTAAGTGCTTCCTTGTGCCAGGAGCTGTGCTCAGATGCTTGACAACAGCCTGAGGGGATGGGTGGCAGACATCATCTTTATTTTAAAATGAGAAAAGCAGGCTCCCAGAGACTAAGTCCAGGAGTCTTCCCTCCTAGGTCAGTGCCCTTCTGGCTGCCTGACTTTCAGCTTCAACTCCAGCCAGAGAGGGAGAGCCAAGTCCCATTCCAGACACGGCCTGTCCCCCGGCAGTGGCTGGACTCAAAGGCCTAGGGTGGGCTGGAGAGCCTCACTGCTTCAGGCAACCCTCTCCTCACACCCGTATAAATGCTGGCTGTGTGGGATGGCAGGAAGCGGTGGAGTTGCCATTTCCCTCTGCTCTGAGGCTGCCCATCTGTTTCCTGGGATAGGGCTCCCTGCCCCCACCCACCCTCAGTCCGGAAATTCACTTGCTATGGGGCTATGGGAAAAGGGAACTGCATGGTTCCCTCCCTCCCCAGGGGGCGGTAGCAGAGGCTGTCGATGCAGCAACCCCTTCCAGGCCTCCCACCCTCAAGGCTCTAGCTGGCCAGCTCCTACCAGTGGTTCTGAGGACATGAGGAGGGGACAGGCCAAAGGGGTTACTGCCCCACCAGCATCAGGGCCCAGCCTCAGAGCAGCCACAACACTCCCCACCCTCCCCTCTTCTGGCCTGACTGGCATCCCTGGCTGCCTGCTTCACTGCTCATTCCAGCCTGGAGGGTGGGGTGAGGGGGTGACTTTCTGGGTAGAAGTTTGTGGAAAGTTAAAAAAAAAAGAAAAGAAAAAAAAATAAAAGAAAGCTTTCCCGCCCGCCTGTGATCTTGACATGGCCATCTACGAGTGAGCACTGCCCCCTGCTGGACCCTTTAGGTACACCCACCTGTGCCACCTTGAGTCGGGAAAGCAAGGAAAAGGCACAGCCTGGGTGCCAGCGGCTTAACAACACCTCACAAAACTAGTGTCCAACAACACAGCAGTGTCAAAGGCAGCCTACGGTTCCACAGCATGGTCAAGATTCTCTCCTTAATCGAACTTTGGTCAGGCTCCTTTGAGCCACTTTTTCGACTAGGCCCATCCTTGGGCTTCGTCCTCCAAAACAAGATTCCTGCTAAGGTGGTTTGGCCAGAATCCCCCACCCTCAATTTCTGACCAGCCTGGATATCTCATCAGGCTCCCCGTCCCCCAAAGTCCCCCAAATGACAAGTGATCACACTGTCAGCAACAATACTGTCAGGATGGTCTTGCCAAAATCCTCCTTACCCCCGATGTTTCCCCTTAGTAATTTTCCATCCAAACTGACCTCCATCTGCTCTTTGGCTGTAAATCTCCACTTTTCCCTGATGTATTCAGAATTAAACCCAGTTCTATACTGAGGTCCTCTTTCCCTTATTGCAATGTTTTTCTGAATAAAATCAGTTTTTCCTACTTTAACAACTTCTGGTTTTTCTTTAATACACCAAATGAATTTTAAAAGGAAGGGAGCAAAACCACGTGGGTTGAAGCAGGACAGGAAGGCTTTTGTGTGAAGTGTTTGTGCAGAATTTGGAAAGGTAGAGAGAAGCAGGGAGGGCGGCACAGCCTGCCAGGGACTGGGCCAAAGCAAAGGTTGTTGGGGTGGCTTTGGGGCAGTGGGAAAGTGACAGACCAACGAAGGGCGGAGGATACCAGACGAGGAAGAGGGGCTATCACCTGCTTGCTTTCACATTGTTTAAAGCCTTGAAGTTTTCCCACAAAAGAATCTGCCCCAGAACCCCAATATATAAAACTGATCAAAGTTGAGGTGATATTTCCAAGCACAGGGTGTTAAACTCCCCTATCCTCAACACACTTTGGTGACCCCTGGGCATCTCTGAACACCTGAAGGAGCAGTTTGACACCAAGAGCTACAGGTAACAGGGAGCCCTGAAGGTTCCAGTATGTTTGGACCGACAGGACAGTCATAGTATCTAACGAGGAAGGAGGATAGAGCTGTGGTGTCCAGGATGGATCGAAAGCAGAGTCAGGGAGCCCAAAGCGTCAAGGGGGCACTGAGAACTCACTGCACTTCTGCAGCCAGCCCTTCTCCTCTGCCAGGACCTCAGGGTATCTCAAGGTCAGTGTTTGCGAACCCCAACCCTCCATTCACCATAGCGTTCCTTTCCCAGTCTCCCCTCATCCTCTATCTACACTATCTAATCTAGTTCCTAGTTATAGTGTCCCTCTGGTCTCTGTTTCCTGCGTCCCCCATATACCAATGCCCACAGAGGACTCCCACAAACACCATGATTAAGAAAAAGAAATCCCCATGCACTGCACAAAAATGGGCCGGCCCCAAGAACATCAGCTCTCTAACGCCAGAGGCTGCCATGCTTGTCCAGTAGATACTCACACCAGGAATGTCCAAAAGCCTTGACACCAAAAGAGGCAACTTCAGGGCTGCAACACTCCCAGTGACACCCACGAGGACACGGAACCGTCTCTCCTCCAAGGGTGCAGCAGCTGAACACGTGGCCTTTGGTTTCACGTGGGGCCTGGTGGCTTCGAGTCCTGGAAGCCCGCCACAACTGGGCTCCATAAAGCTCGGTCAGGATTTAGGATCTGAAAGCAGAACAAGGGGTGCCTGCTTCATTCATACATTCGACCAAAATATATTGAGCGCCTGTGTTAGACCCTGGGGTTCCTGAGGGGTCAGCAGTCCCAGCTTCTGTGAGCACACAGTCCAGAAGGCCAGTGCCGTGGGGAAGGTCTACACTAGGGCTGTGCTGCCCAGGAGTAACTAACCATCTGAGGAAGTCAGAGACCAATAAATAAATAAATAAATAAATAAATAAATAAAAATAAAATGAAATAAAATTCAGGTCGAGTCCTGCAGGACGAGGAAGTTTTCCCAAGAAAGAAGGAAATAACTTTGCAAGAAGGAGCAATCTTGCAGAGGTGAAGAGGCCTGAAGGAGGGTAGCAGTTTTGGGAAATACAGAGTAGCTTAGCAGTGAGGCTGAAGTGTGATGAGGGGAAGGAGGGGGACAGGAGGTAAGGCTGCAAAATCAGGTCAAGGGCTTAGTGTCAAGACCAGTGAGGGCCAGAGTGAGTCTTCATTTGAGAAAGATAGTGTGGGGGCAGGTGACAAGTATGGAGGGGGCCCTGGTAGTGGAGAGACTGGAGGGGGCAGGGGAAGGAGCCACTGCAGTGGGCCAGGCTGAATTTAGAGTGGCAGGACAGGATAGGCTCCAGGCACGTCTGTGAGGTGGATCCCTAGGCAACAAGGGGGCTTAGGTGCCCCAGGGAGCTAAGAGATTTGCCTGTCTGACCCCATTCGCATGGATTAGACTGGGCACCACCCTACAAATCCAAGGCCAAGACAAGCAGAATAAGGATGAAGGCCACCACATGAAATCAGTAGCTTGGTCTCTTCCTTTGCCCTCAGATGTTGCTAGAAGTGAGCGTCCACGACAATGTGGCTGATGGACACATGAAAACCCACACTCGGGCCCACTGGGCCAGCAAAACGTACTCACTCCATCAGCAAGAACCACATCTAGCACCAAGCAAAGGAATTGGGGAAGACACTGCTGCTGCCCTCAGGATATCTGTGCATGAACTGAGAAAACAGGAATCACACCTGAAATCACTTGCAATGGGTCTTTCTCTGGGAGGCACCTTCTTGGTGATCACTGATTCAATCTGTACATTGGTTTCCTTGACTCTCCCTCTCCACTTTCCCACCACCACTGCCACCAGCAAGCTCCCTAAACATGTGATCAGGTTTAAACACCAACCACCAGACAGGTAATGGGCCCCTGATAGGTCCTAAACATCTGCTGCATGAATAATAAATTGTACCCTCTGAAGCAGAGTGGGGCAGAGGACAAAAGCCTGGCCTGTGAATCAGGAGCCCTAGGCTCTGTCCAGGGTTGTGCTCCTGACCTGGAGTGTGACCTTGGCCCAGGGTAACTCCCGCCCTGGACCTGTCTCTTTGTCTGAAAGATACAAAGATAGGACCAGGTGATCTCTGAAGCTCATTCCAGGAGAAACCTTCTGAGTTAATGCATGAAAGACAGGGAACTCTCTATACAAGGGGATCCTGGGAGATGCATTCAAAAAGGGTAGAAGCAACAAGGCGGAGACCAAAGCAGACCCCGAGGAGGAAGTTGGGTGAGTCACCCAACAGCACGTATGTGGCTGCACACACACAGGGGCTTCCTCTTCACTCCACAGGCCCCTGGGCTCCTTAAGGCCTTTTTGCCCATTATTTGCCTTCAAGACTCAGGCACACGCCCACATGAGCTCAGGATCATGTTTGGGTCCATTATCCTACTCCTACCTGGAAGGATCTCCCAGGAGCCCAGACTCTTCTCAACAGAGGTTAAGCACAGGCCATAGACTGTAGAGCATGACTTCTCTCAAAGTTCTATTTGCCAGAGATCTTGATCTCTGCTCTATGTCAGGGCCTCAGCCAGGGCCACACTTGCCCAGAGCAGAACTGGGTCTGTCTACTCCAGGGCCTGGAGAGCCCTGTTAGCAACCGACAAGGTCTAGAGGTTCCATCAGCCAGCTTCTTCCCAGAACTAATCAGCATGCTAGTTAGCATCCACAGGAGGTGATAAAGGGGAAACCTACCTGTCAGGTCCCAAACCTTGACCCTGCCCCACCCCAGACAACTGATGCTAGGACAGGGTGATTCCTGCAAAACCAGAAGCTGAATTTAATCTCTACAGCCCCTGATCATTCCTAAGGAATAGGTTATTGAAAGCAGTCAGATAAACTTGGGGCAGGAATCCATGTTGGTGACTTTAACTCCTTCCCCATGGCAGGTGGTACAGCCCAAGACTTACTATGTAGACTGCTGAACAATCTTTGTTAAGGACCAAAGCCTACCTACCTTTCTAGAAAAAGGGAGGGGTGGGCGGTGGGTGGGCCAGGGAGGGCATAAGTACTTGAGGAATAGAAAGTGGATAATCTGACCAACAGCTGAAAGCAAAGTCAAATCAGTTCAATCTGACAGTTCCATGGAGGGTGACAGGTGGCAGGAGTCTTTATGTTTACTCTCAAAAAAAGATAAAATCCCAAACCAGTAAGTCTGTTTACTCTACCCAGTCCCTGTTAGAACCATCTATTTGCAAAGCCAAGGTACTGTGGACAGCACCTCATTTTCCTGGGCTCTGCTGGACTCACAGGAATTCTTGAGTAGCAGAAAGAGTTGGCAGGCAGAGAGGTCATGGGGCTAAAGGCTGTGATTACTGTGAGTACCCAGGGTACCAGCCATGCAGGTAGCCACAAGCATGCAGCCACAGCCAGACAAATGGCAGCTTCTTTTGTCCTTTAGAAAGACAGGGCCAGACAGAATAGAGTTTCAGTTTGTGGCAGGCTTGTGATGTGTAAGTCTCCTGCTCTGATGAGTTTAATTAGGGCAGAGATAAAGGTTTCAGAAATACCTGCGACTCACAGTACAGGCACCTGTGGAGCCATGGCAGAACCAGAGCTAAAAAAGAGCCAGCTGGGGTAGGAACCCAGCCCAAGACAGGAACGAGGAGAGGGAGCCTGGGACCGGGCAGAACCAAACTCAGGGGTGGAGGCAAGGGTGAGTGGGTGGGCAGGGATTCATTAAGAGCTTGAATCCTTTAGCCTAAAGTCAAAGTTCCTCACTACCGGCCCAAGGCTTCTGCTCTGGCCTCATCTCCCACTAGACGCAGACATGCTTGATTCTGCTGCTCCTGGAATCCCATTAGGCACCCCTTCTCAAGGCCACATGTTGGGGATATATAGATATATATTACATTCATTCACATTCATTCACACACACACACGCACACACACACACTAGCGAGGGAGTGTCACAGTACTGCCACGTCTCAGCCACTGGGAGAGATGTGGAAAACTCCTGCTCCAAGACACCCACCACCTTCCCACCTTGCAAATCTCTCCTGCCTATTAGCTGGCCTGGGCCTCCAATACTTCAAAGGACAGTTTTCTCTGACAACAGTTGGTCTCACTCTCATTTTTAAATGCCACTCAGCACTTTTAGGGGGAGCTAGGGGGTAACTGTAACATCTCAGGGCTTTCCTTTCTCTATTTTTACCAACTTGTAAAGTATAGTTTGTACTTTGGACAGCCCCTATCCCTTTTTGGAAGCAGGCTCATGGGGGTTTTTGGTCTTTTAAGGCAAGCGTTAAGTGTGGGGAACTGAGAGAGCCACCTTTTAATCTAGATTAAACGGCTCCGGACAACAGCAGAGGACCACAAGCCGGGATGGGAGGGCACAGAAATCCCCCACTTCAGGCGGGAGACGGGAAAAGGTCCCTAAGGCTCCGGTCCCACAGCCTCCACCGCCCTGACACACACCACACAGCCGCACACCCGCAGTGGTGAGCAAAGCTTCTCGGGTACCGATAAGAAAGTGAGGTCACACGTACACGTACACACGGAAAATGAGGTCACGCACACAGCCGCGGACCCGAAGTCGCCAAAGAAGCTTCTGCAGCCTCCCGCCCGGTCCGCCGCGAGAAACCAGCCTCCGGCGGCCCCCTTGACTCCTCACCCGCGCCGGGCGCTTCTCGGGAAAACCCTCAAATATCGCGATATCTCAGCCGCCCCTCCCGCTGATCCTGACTAGCAACGTCACCAGAGCCTACGGGACCGCACAGCCTTCTGGAAGTCGTAGTCAACTTCGCCTTCTGGGAGTTGTAGTCCACTCAGAGGTGTACTGCCTCCTCCCCACTCCATCCCCAGCCCACACTGCTCATCACTGCGGCACTTAACACTGAATATTTACTGAGCCTCTTCCGTTTTAAGTGCACAGGATACAGATATAAATCGAACTCTTTCCTGCTCTTGAGACAAACAAGGACACACAAAAAAATTACATAAGGTGCAGGAGGAAGCAGAGCAATTAGAGGCAGGGAAGCCCTCTCAGAGGAGTCACTTGAGGTGAATCTTGAAGGATGACCAGGAGCTTAGATGAGTGCCAAAACAGCCCTCCAAGTGCAGAACACAGCATTGGCAAAAGGAAAGCAGCAGGAGAAATCACACTGGATACACTCCCTTGCCTTCATTCTCCAGCATCCACAGGCCCCCTGATCAATCCCCTTGTGTTCCTTGAGGCCACTCCATCAGCTGCTGGTCTCCTTCAATGGAGCGAGATGGGACCCTCTGTGCTACACTCCTGCCCTTGCATACAGTGACCACCTGGACCAAAGCACTCCTCACCCACTGATCCAGCCTTCTACTTCTTCCTCAGGGAACTCAGAACTCCTCCTAACAGGCAGGAGGCCTCTGTGGCAGTTTCAAGGCTGCCTCAGAGAAAGAAGCACACAGAGGTGCATGACTTTTGGCCTCTGGGAATGACAGGCCACAGACCCACTTGACCCACCCGACCTCCATGCCCCACAGCCCACAGTGAGGCCCACACAAAGACACATGACACAGCAGGACACAGAGGGCCAAATGTTCCCTTTATTAAGGTTCATTCAGTTACCACAGACAGACACATTGGCTCAGGCAGGTCAACTGCCAGTTGGAGAATGGTCTGTGTCTCCCAGAAACAAGGAGGAGCAGTGGGCACCCACAGAATGCAGAAGCTGGTCACTGGCTGGCCGCAAACCCGAGGATCCCCAGACTGACCTGGGCCTTCCTACACCCCACCCTCAAGCCAGACCATCCAGCAGAGATGAATCTGTGCCCAGCCCCCACCTCTCAGACTGGTTCCCTCCCCAGGAAAGTGCATAGTTGCCTGGAGATGCAGCATCCCAGGGCCTGGATAAGCTGGGCCACACACAGATAGCAGGTCTTCCCAAGGGCAGAGCCAGGGCATGGCCATTTAGGTCTGAGCCAGGAAAGAGGAAAGGTAGGTAGGACAGGAAGTTGACTGGATGTGGCATCCAACAGGTCAAAGATGCTGGGCTGGCAGCTGGACCATAGGCCTCCTGGAGCCCCAGAGACTAAGAGAAAGGGAGCCAGAGGCCTGGGCTGCAGGAGAGGAAAAGGGAGGAAGAACCCAGACCTCAGATCACTGTTCAGTACTAGGGGCTGTGCCAACTGCTTTCCAGAGAGAATGTGGTAAACCCTGGCTCCTCCTGCAGGAAAGTGGAGTACTGGAGCTCAAAGCTCAGGATGGCACCTGAGTCCAGGTGTTGGGTTCTAAGCAGGAGCCAGCCCAGAGCGGCCAGGCGGGGCTTGGTTTTTCAAGCCAAATAACCTAGATAAGAGGTGGGGGCAGTGAGTGAGAAATGGGCAGCTGCTCCTTGGTTAAGAACCCACCCTCCTCCAGGCCTCCGAGGGAGCCAGGGCCTCTACCAGCAACATTCCCACAGTGCTTGGAAAAGAACAGCCCTACAGGTCTGCAAGCACAGTCCTGGAAGGGAAACGAGTTCTGACAGGGTGAGGAAGGGCAAAGAACCAAGTCTGATAGGCAGAGGGCAGCAAGTAATCTTGATTTGATTTAAAAAAAAAAAAAAGAGCCATAGAGCCTCCCCTCCCACCTAGCCTCGCCTGAACTCCCACTCTGGCCACTGTGTTTGCACACAGGGTTGGGCCTGTGCTTCTTCCTGGGCCTTGAGTTCAAGTGCCCAGAACTGCCCTATGACCAAGAGCAAGCTGGGGGTGCGGGGGACATGATCCCCTCTCACTGGGCCCTGCCTGCCTTCTCCTCTGATCTTCCCTCCAGGCTCAACCCTCTGAACCTGTCCCTTCTATCAGACCCAAACAGAACAGCTATTGCTCCCAGGAATCCAGTGGTCATTCAGACACCTAGCACCTGCCCAGTGGGCTGGGGCTAAACATACGTCCCCAGGGGCCAGTAATTATTTACATACCCTCTGTGACAGCTGCACTATACACCTGAAATTGCCTGGACACCACCCAGATCTTCAGGAAAGGCAGTGGAATCTGTCCTCATGGATGGCAGATGCCACCTAGCGCACAGTAGGGGTAGGGTAGGAGAACTAGGACACAGAAGCTGGGAGTATGGGGAGGGATATAAGCAGAGGGGCTCAAGGGGGCTCTGGGAAGAGGAGGGGTAGGCAAGGCAGGGAAGAGAGGAATCTGCCTTGCATTTCCATTCCCTGGGAGTCAGATCCCCAGGTGGGCTCTGTAACTCTGGCTGTGTGCCCTCCCACATCGAGGCCAAGGCCCAGCTCCCCTGTCTGCTTCCTTGATCTGGGAATGGGCTCAGCCTCAGGAGCAGAACTGGGACACTCAGCCTTGGGGAAGACAAAGAAAAGCCACATGGAAAAGAGAGAGACCCTGGGCAGAAGAGACCACAGGAGTGTGACAGCAGGAAGAGAGGAGGGGAGGAGGAGTTTGAGGAGGGAGAAACCTGGATGAGAAGGAGCAAGGGAAGCTCCCCTACAGGTCCCACCCTCCCACCTACCAACCCCATGAGTGCTAAATACTGTTGCTTCCTAGTAAGACCAAAAGTGGGAACAGTTTCAGCTCATAACCCTGGGGAGGGGGCCAGCCTCTCTGCTATGCCTCCCTCTGCCCCATGAGGGGTCTCTGGGCCAAGGTCAGAGGGGGCAGCCTGGTGGAGGGTGGGGGGCTGGTTTAGTTCTAAACATACGTCTAGCACCACAACAACAGAGACTTCCACTGCACACTGTTCACAAGGGGACACAGACACAGCTACCACTGCACGGGACAGCTCCACGTGCAGCCCTCAGCTCTCAGGGTGCTGAGAGCAGAATCCAAAAGGTGCGGGGAGGGGATATACATATACAGATATATATATATATATATAACTCTGATTCTTTGTACAAAGTGGGTGAGGAGAAAAAGGGAAGGGGGAACCCTGCTTGGTCACCACAATAGACCACGTGGCTTGAACCCCCGTCCCACCGGCCCCTAGCCAGCGCTCAGTAGGCTCAGCTGGTTCACATCTCATTGGAGTACGTGTAGTTGGGAGTGGCGGAATACTGAGTCTGCGGTTGATTCATGGCACCCTGCGCCGCCCCCATGGCTGCATTCTGGGCCGCCTGCTGCACGTGTGGGTTCTTCCATGCCCCTGTGGTCCACTCCTCCTGAGCTTTGCTGAAACTCCCCCCACTTCCCCGATAGAATTTATGAACCTGTAGAAGAAGGGCACAAAGAAGCGTTAATCAAAGGGAAGAAGCAGCGCATCCAGGAAAGGTGTGGGAGTCAGAAATAAGTCATTG